ACTGTTTATTATTTGTTTGAAGATCTCATGAATTATAAAAGTCACATCCAAAAATTTTTTCGTTAACGAACTTATAGACGCTTCGTAATTGCCTTGTTTTCAGACAATATGTTATTAGCTGTAGAGTGTAACTAGCTAAATAACATTTTAAAAGGGCTAGATTTGCTTTGTTAGAATTGATGGAATTAGTACAATTATTAAACTGTGCTATAAAATCTTTAAATCGAATTTAGATGTATCGATGCTGTTTAAGCTAGCATTTATTGGGGATGTGAGATATGGAACCGGCTTCAGTTCCGTGAGAAATACTCGTTTCTCGAACAGATTCCTCAATATCAGCAAGGCTATTATTTACACTGTCTCGAAAATCATATTCATTCTTTTGTTCAGTCATAAAACCACTTTCATCCAAATCCAGGTTTGGCTTTGATACAAATCTCCTGGATTTTAACATCCAAAGCTCGAGTTTCTCCCTGAAGATTTTAATAATGGCTTCCTCTTCTTTAAAAGATTTTTTCTTTAAGTTCTTATCTTGGGCCAGCAATTCCAAACTTAAATTAATATCATTTTTTAAATTATTCTTAGAATCAATAAGGATTTTAATTCTTTTCAACGCTTTGTAGTTATTCATCTTGAAATAAACAATGAATTAATTTTGTTTTTTTAAATTATTTTTTTTTTGACTCCACTTGTCCGGATATTTTCACTGAACGGTGAAGATGGGCAAAATTATTTTATATATATTTGGACACCCGTGTCCATAATAGCCTCACAGAATTGTGAAGGCAAAAAATTATCTTTATATTTTTTATGACTCCTCGTGTTCGGATTTATTTCACTGAACAGTGAAGATAGACAGAATTATTTTTTAATTATATATTCGGACACACGTGTCCATAATAACTTCACTTAATGGTGAGGGCAAAATTATTTTAATTATATATTTTTTTGGACGCCGCTTTACATTAATAATAACTTCACTGAATGGTAAAGGCAAAAAATTATTTCAATTATATTTTTGGAAACAACACTGGATCAATAATAACTTCACTGAACTGAAGGCAAAATTATTTTAATTATTTTTTTTTGGACACACGTGTTCAGCATCAATCCCACTTAACTGTGACGGCAAAAAATTACTTTTATATATTTTTGGACACACGTGTCTATAATAACCTCATTGAATTGTGAAGGCAAAAATTATATTTATATTTTTTCTCATATATAAAAAACAGTAGATTATTTTGGAGATATTTTCTCTCATAAAAGAGCACAGTAGATGTTATGATGTTAATTTGGGGTTAATAAAGACAAACGCCAAATAACATGTAACAATAAAATGGGGTTTATTCGGTTGGTAAGTTGGTACAGAAATCGCCTGAGTAGTCTATAACTAACTCAGCCCAAGAACTTCTCGGTATTTATCATTTCACCCACGGGAAACGAATATGGCACAAGGCCGGTTTTATTGTGGGTTTCTCCGAGCCCGTAGGCTCGGCCAAAAAAATAGCCTTTTGAAGCCGATTAGACGGGTTCAGGCCCTGTCTACCTCCCCGGACGAAACCTTGCCCTTCGGCAAAGCCTCGTCCGGGTTCCTCTCTGCTAACGCAGATAGTTCGACAGACGTCGGAAGTCAGCCCAAGAAATTCTCCGACACTGTCTTTTGACATGCCACTATTTTACGTCCTTGTTTGTAGACGAGTTCATCTTCAAGAGGGGTGGTAGGTTCCTACACAACAGTAGATTAGGAAATATTTTCTCTCTCGCCTTTTTTATGGTCAAATCTGTCTCGATTTTTTTTAAATTTTTGTCATCATGCCACCAAAAATGCTTTATGCGTTCGGCAAAATTGCTTACAAGCAAATAAGTTTTAGCAAAATGTGGGAAATTTAACGACCTTCCAAACACAATCATGGCTAGATGAACAAAGTGAGACAATTGAACATTGATATTTTATACAAGAAACACAATACATAGCGAGAAAGAGAATAGGGATTGCTAAAAACGTTGTCTTTTAGCGACTAAAAGTTAAAGCTTCGGGGATGAAATCCAAATACGTATCTGTTTGAAATAGATCATTCACTTATCTGAATGGAGCTCATATTCTGCTTGCATTAGCTGCTTGTCCTCGCATTATTCAGATTAGGTTATGCTGAGCATGCCTGTTCTTGAGTGGGATTCGAGACATGTCTTCTTCATTTCAGATCTTTTCAGCGTCTGCCTGGGGTATCATAAAACACGTCTATTCGCTTGGTGTTCTATTCGGTAATTTAATAATTACCATCATTGTTAACTACCTGATGAGACATTTTTTATTAAACATCGAAACAAAATGTACAATTTAGTAGTGGTTACTTACATGTTTTAATGTAACAGTGCATTTGAGGATGAAATGGAACTAATGTCTTTAATTTAATTGCAAAATTAAATTCGTGGCTTTTTAGCTTCCATTTTGAAACATGGTTAGATCTGTGAAGCGGAAAAATATATTTTAAATCAATTAATTTATAATATATATATATATATATATATATATATATATATATATATATATATATATATTTATTTATTTAAAAAATATGATTCCATCGCTGCATAAGAGTTCTTATGTTTCAAAACAAGAGCCGAAAACTTCAATATAATTATTTGAATTAAACTGAATTAAAGTACCAAGCACTATTCCATCTTCAAGCGAAATTTTTTTTTTTGTTTGAATCCCCCAAAAAATTAGCTTGAAGATGGAACAGAGCTTGGTACTTTAATTCAATTTAATTCAAATAATTATATTGGGGTTTTCGGCTCTTGTTTTGAAATATGTAGCGTTTGGAATCATATTTTTAAATAAATAATTATATTTAGGCTCTACTTTTGTATCGAGCACTGTTTTTTTTTTAAATAATAACAAAAATACTAAAGAACTTTGGATTATTTACCTAGCGAGTTCTTTCCTATTTTCTATATATTTTTACACACACACACACACATATATATATATATATAGTTGGTGAACAGAAGTAACATGATTCTGTGGTAACCAACTAATGAGTGATAGACACTAAATAATTTGGCTCAAGATCATAATAAATGGCGGGAAATAATTCACCTCATTTAGCAATTAATGAATGATAAGTATAATAGTGAAAACTATATTAGATGACAAGGATAGGGGAGGGATATTTACGAAACTTAAGTTCGCATGTATGGGGATTTACCCATATACAAAAATTTTCACTTAAGTCTTTTAACGCACAATAAAAACGTAATCTTTCTTAGTGTTAAATTAAAACACAAGGAAATTGTTTATTTACAATGATTCATGTGAAAATAAAATGGGCATAGGGAAGAAACTAAGCTAAGTGGAAACATTTTGCTAAGAAGATAGGGATTTAAAGTGTTGTAGTAGAAGTTATAAAAGTCTTGGTAGAAAGTGTACAATGTTAGATTGATTTTATTGGGCCGTTCGGGGTTGATAGATCATCACAACGGGGGTGTCTGTTTACAGAATGGAAAGAGTTGTCGAAGGAATGTCATTTGTGGCAACCTCCAGAAGTTGGTATACCATTGTAGAATTATAATAGTAGAGAGAGAGTTCTTTTCGTATCACTAAGGGAAAATTGTTGGGTTTGTTTTAGACGATCGTGTCCAAAATTATCTGTATCTAATTTTTTGCGAGTTGTGGGCCACGAGATATCTCAGAATCCTGCGTAATCTTTCCTTTGCTAATTGTTTTGCTGACCTAATCTCTCCTGACTACTCAAGCACAAACAGCGATTAATGGCGATTAAACTGGTTGTCGGCTTTCATTATCAACCTTCCATCCGGCTAAGTTACTTTTCAAAATTTTCCACGGTTTCAAATTCCGTTCTTCTGATTAATTGAAAATAATTTTGAGAAGGAGTTCTTTTTCTCAAGCCTATTTTTTCCTAGTTAATTCTTTTTTTTTATTACTCTATAGCAGATATAGTGTCTCTTTGTTTAGGCTCAGATGCAAGGATTATCAATCAGTTTGTTTAGCTTTCATTATTCAGACACATAAGCGGGTTGAGAGTGCTTACAATTACAAGAGTTACACGAACCAGATCGGGCCAAAAATGGATTATCGTTGCTACATCTGTACTGGGATTGCAAAAACTCACTTTTCAGTCTCAACAGATTTCAAATATTTTGCGCATTTCGTGGATGATGAATTCTTTTCCACAACCCTAAAACGTTACTAGACGCTCGCTGCTCTGTCGCCATTTTCACGGCACATGTTCGGCCGAACTACAATCCTTCGTTTCACCAGTCCAGATTTTTACAATAAGGAGGGGCTATGCCGCATACACGGAGTCGACTCATCCTCATTCCATTCATACACCATTAGTAAAGAGGAAGTTCTACTCAAACAATCTTCCCCAGAACTGTCGCATTATGAAATGGACTCCCGAGACGATGCTCCACCGATCACTATGTCGGGATACAGAAGGCGCTTATCTCCCTCACTGTATGGAGTGACGTCACTAAGCTGTCCGTCACGTGACCCAGGGTAAATAAAGTCGTGGTCACCAGTAAATCAATACTACATAACGTTCGCCAGTTAACGGCTGATAATAATATCATATGTCGGGTAAATAATATCGCGTCGTGGTTACCATCACGTGACCCATGTGACTTATCCCCCATTAAAGGGAGCTAAGCGCCTTCTGTATCCCTTCAACTACAATCCTAAGCTCTTCTAGTCCGCGCTCAACCGTTATCTATCCTACATATTCTCGCAATATGCACCACTTGCTTCCACCATATGTAGAGACATACAATAACTTCATTTAGCAAGCCCCTCTACCTTTAGTGGCTCTCAGGCTTTGGTGAACAATAGTAAAAAAAAAAAAAAAAAAAAAGAAGTTTTACTTTTTTTCTGTTTTTATTTATAATTTTTATTTGTAGTAGGTTTTTATTCCTTTCAATTTTTATTGATTTTTTTTTTTCGATTATTTCTTTCAGATTAACTTTTCTTTTGCATCTTGCGGTCATATCACGTTGAAACACCTGTTCTCGTGCGATCATCGAAGTTAAGCAACGTCGTCTAGTCAGAAACTAGATGGGTGACCGTTTAGAAATACCAGGTGCTGTAAGATTGGATGTGCGGGTGGTGTAATGGACTACAAGTCGTGTTCGTTATATTCAATTACACGCGATTACCCATGGGGTAGGTATGGAAATTTTCTAATGCGGCACAAGACTGGAAGTATGAGGCACCCAGCAAGATTGAACTCTTTACTCTATCATTAATCTAGCAAGTAACTCATTACTCAGTCATTGATTTACTTAGACAAGCTTGGTAACCATTACACCACGTCGAAGAGCCTATACCCATAGGAAAGATATGAATCCACCTCTTTTCCCTCCAGCTATGGGTTTAGTAGGATTTGTATCAGTAAATCATTATTATCTACCCCCGTCCTCTAAATTCTTACAATGTAAAAATATTTTCTCGTTTTAAATAACTTGCAAAAGGTTGATAAGTCATAAAAAATAAATAAAAAAAACTCTTCCAAATAATTTCCATTTTTTTTAATTCGTAACGCGTTATATTCACTTACGCGCGAATATCCTTGGAAAAGCTATAAATCCACCTCTTTTCTCCCCAGCTATGGGTTAATTAGTAGGACTTGTATCAGTAACTCCTTTTTATCCTCACCCAATTCTTATTATCTAAAAATATTTCATCACTTTCAATAAATAACCCGCTAATCTCTCTCTCTCTCTCTCTCTCTCTCTCTCTCATATATAATGCGGTATTGTAACTATTTACATTGTTCGGACTGTTGCCCTCATCTTTAATGTCATATTCATGACGTTTTTATCTTTGTACGCTCCGGCCTTTTTCAGGTTTTATAGGAGTAGTTTGTATATCTTCTAAAGAAGGCCGGAGCCTACAATGGCCGTAACTTTGTGATTATGACAATAAAGATAAGGATAACAGTCCAAACAATGCAAATAGTGTATATATATATATATATATATATATATATATATATATATATATATATATACAGTTTTAAAAACTAGGAATTTATTGATTTTAATTTTATTAATCTCTAAGGCCCTTTCAACCAACATCTCATCAGGAGACAATCGTTACAAGTATATACACTCATTTTTTTTTCTTTTTTTAAAATGCCCCTCACTAATTTATTTACACGTTATTTCCCCTCCCCTCGTTATAAGTATATACACTTGTTTTTTATTTTAGCGTGTTTCCCCCCCTTTTTTTTTGCTCTTTATTTTCGTTACTGTTCTTTTCGTTAATTAATGATCCAACGATTGTCTCCTGATGAGATGTTGGTTGAAAGGGCCTTAGAGACTAATAAAATTAAAATCAATAAATTCCTAGTTTTTAAAACTGTATATAAATTTTGTACCTCTAAACATTTATATATATATATATATATATATATATATATATATATTGTGTCCGTGTAAGATTTTTTTTCTTTTCTGGACGTGAAGTATATAAATACTGACCGAATGTTCTGCATAACCGAACGATTTCGGCTATTCCTTTAGCAATTATCTAGGACGTTTTTAATTTTTATTTTCAATTGAATGTGTATCTAGTGGATATATATATATATATATATATATATATATATATATATATATATATATATATATATATATCACAAGATATCAGACACAAAAACTTCACTGTGATATCAAGTTTAATGCCAGGAATCGATCCTCAGATAGTTCAATAAAATATACTCTTATGTTATGGCCACTGTTTTGAGAGTTTGCTAGTATTCAGGCGTACATTCATCAAATGTATCATCAATCAACAAACTGATCGCTATTGATTTTTTATGGGCTTATTTACAGTTGGGTTGTGGAGCTCTACTCAACGATGACTGATATAGACAGGTCACATCGAGTTTTTTCTATATGGATTATACTCCGCATTTGAAAGACTATAATTAACGTAAAAAAAATCAAATTCCTTTAATCTCTTTGTTACATATATATTCAAATTTTAAGCTTTGAAGAACATACTTAGTGAGCTTGAGTAAATGGATGGCGAAGCAATATTTAGGAGAGATAACAAAAAGATGGGATTTATTAAGAGCTACGAAGGACAGGAAGTTGTAGAGGGTCATGATCGCCTATGCTCCGAAGGGACATAGCACATAGAAGAAGATTGTTTAGCGGTGTCTGGCTAGTGTGACGGTTATTGCTACAGAAAATGGAATCAGCGATCCGAGTTCAAATTCCTAGCTAGCCTGTTACGTTCCCATTTGCCAAAATTGTCTTTTGGAAATGCATGACTCCGTCTCCTCCCCACAACCAGCTATGGGTTAATAATTAGCAGGCTAGACTGTGAATTCTAACCTTAGATTGTAACCAGTCTAAGAGAAAGAAAACTCTGAATTCCAAAACATTAAGGCAATAGGTAACCTCACCAATATATTTCCCAAGAATACGTGGCAATTCGCTGATATTGAAAAGGAAACTGTGGCGAGCCATGATTGTCTACCTCCTGAATAAATATTGCATTTATTCTTTTAAAACTGGAGTTTATGAGTGGAAATATACCATCAAATAATTCTTTGAAAATGTTGAAATTAAATTCTGTTTTTACCAGGGGAGTGATCTTCAACAACACCGTGCAAATACATTCGGATAAAAGAAAGTCCCAGACAGTTGATTGCCGGATTAGTGGAGTCTACTTTTCACACCTCGACATATATCACTTTTATTTTAAACATATGTCACTTTATTTTAAATGGTTTTGTTGCTGTTGCTGCAGTGGCAATGCCGGTTGTCATGGTGACACTCCTAGCTGCCGCGGTTATTGTTGTCATGGTGCCTGACTGACTGATGTTTCTCCTGGCAAATAATTGCGAAATATACTGCGGCATTGACGGTTACCATGGTTGCAATGGTGGCTCCACCGCAGGGCACGCCATTTGACGACCAGTGGGCACAGCTTGTCAGTCGGCCGATGATGATAGCATCTCAAGTCTTCTAAATAATTCGTTACTTGAGTAACGTTGGCTAACATATAGACAAGAGGCTCAAGTTCATATATATATATATATATATATATATATATATATATATATATATAATTTGTGTATTTAGGTAGCAAATTCTCTTTTTAGACATGTCTGATAGAAATAATTTACAGACATTATGTATGCTAATTTTTAACAAAAATAAAATGCCTATAAAGGAACAGTTTTTTCAAGCTTTAATGCGCGCATGACCATGACATTATAACATAGAGAGAAAAAAAATTCCATAATAGATAAATTTTTCACGTTCTAATAAACGCTCAGCACATTGTCAACTGTTTGCATTTAAAAGCATAATGAAAAATTACGGTAATGGATAGCAACGAACAGCTTTGTATAAATACTTGTACCCCTGAACAACATATAGTTTTGTACTAATTGCCACCCTGAAGATGAGCTTGGAAGAAAATCGAAAGTACTTGGGAAATGAAAATAAAAGAAATTTAGACAGTTATAATACATTTCTCTCATCTTTTAATATAAATACACAGAAGGTTATTCGTGAGTATGAATGGATTTTGTTAAAAATTAGCAGACATAATGTCTTTAATTTATTCAATCAGACATGCCTAAAATATTTTAATTTAGATGTGTCTGAGTGTGTGTGTGTGTGTGTGTGTGTGTGTGTGTGTGTGTGTGTGTGTGTGTGTGTAATAAAAAAGTTAATGGTCATAGTTGAATTAGACAGAAACAGAAACAAAGACAAAAATTGTCCAACATTTGCATATTTTTTATTTAAGCTTTCGGCTCACAAGAGCCATCTTCAGAGTGGTTAACTCCGGCGCTTATCCATTGCTGCCAGTTTATTCGCTTGACGCCAGGTTACTCGTGGATACAAAGAAAGAGCTTGGTTGGGAAGTTCTGCCACACCCGCCATATTCTCCTGATTTAGTCCCATCAGATTACCACATTTTACATCGCTTTCTAGTAATTTTTTGTGATGTCAACGAACACTCGTTGACACGTTTGTGATGTCAACGAATACACGTTGTCACTTTCGTAATGCTCGTTGTAGTAAAGACTCTGTAATTGCAGATACAACTATAGTAGACCGTTGAACAATACTGGTGTCAGACGCCTTCGAATATCAGTCACACTAATAGTACTTGCTCGATAACACTCTCTCGAATAGTAATCCGTGTAGTGATCTGAATAGAGGAATAGTATAGTGAATAGAGTAGAGAATAGTGGTCCGTATAGTAATAGAAGGATAGAGTAGAAATAGTATCCGAATAGTAATAGAAGATAGACTAGAAAATAGCGATAATATTTATTGTACTAATTGTACAAATAGGGCACAAGGCCAAAAGGGGGAAAGGGGAAATGATGGTCTTCTTCTGTCTTAACATTTAAACTTAGCTAACCGCAAACACTGACCCAAACATACTGACAATATTCCTTTCACCAAAACAACACATTTCCAGCAAGCAAAGGAACACAAATTGCCCAGCCTTAGTCAACGGCGGTACTATATTGCTACAGACGGAACTGGCCTCGGGGACAAAGAACTTTCCACGCAGCATGCGAATCATGATGTCTTCAACAAACTTGCACAACGGAGCTACGACACTAAAATGAAAAAAGGCGTGACCTAGGGTCTCCCCCTCGCCACTGCAGCGAACGCAGTTTGGCGACTTTGCCAAACCCGCCGAACGAAGTCGTTTGGCGACCCAGAGGGCCCCTCGAATTATCAGCCAGGTGAGTGATGCCTCAGAGTTAGTGAGACATTTCAACCCGGGCGCCCAAGGCCATATGCAGCGAGCCTCCCGGTTCGTCAGACCGAGCTCGCCTATCAAAGTATCCTGAACGTCCCCCCGGACTAACACCTGATATAATACCTTACGGGACAACAGCTGGACGTCGGAGAGGCCATCCTTCGCCCGTAAGAGTTGCTTGAGGGCAAGCCGACATTCGTGATAGAAGGAGCCCTCGCCTCGAGGTGAACGGTCGGCCTCTTCCTCACACGAGCGCACACTTCTTAAGGATGGAAATGTTCTATGAGCGCCTTCCTTCCAAAATTCGCCGTTCTCATCCAATTGTATACACATCCGGTCTAGATAAGTAATGCGAAACGAATGTCGACGAATCTCAACGCAAGGCACCCCTAGACCGCCATCAGAAGGATGAAGGTAACAGATCTCGCGACTAACCATGGCGGCTCTACCTCCCCACAAGAAGGAGAACAAGAGCCTTACAAACGCCAATAAAGTGTTAGACGGGAGTGGAAGCACAGAGAGTCGTTAAAGGAGAATCGGGTGGATATGCGAAGCACATACTTCCGCTCTCCCCTTCAAGGATAGATTCCTCGGGGACCACAGACGAACTGCGACCTCGGCCTTCTCCCGCACCTCCGACCAATTCATTTCCAATAGGAGGTCGGGACCGAACCAGACGCCGAGTATCTTGACCGGCCCGTCCGTCCAGTCGAAAGATCCGGTATTACATTTTAACCTACAGTCATATTTTCGTTTGGTTTAAATCATTTTCTTCATTTAGCGCGATTAAAGTAATAATATTGAGTAATATGGCGACTGATGATACTGTGTAAATGTTACGAAGGCGTACATCATTATACGTTTGCATTATTTATAAAAATTACTTTAAAAACAGACAGAAATAAAATACTTGGCATTAGCTGTCTACAACCTTCGATAAGGACGACTCACACTCCAACTATCTGAAACATCTTTACCTGCTTCATCGTTCATTTCACTTCTCTTTCTCTTCCTTTTCTTTTGGTGTATTTTTCCTTCCTCTGAATTTTCTCCGTTTACCGTTCTTCCTCTCACTTTTTTCCTTTTTCTCTCTCTCTCTCTCTATCATTTTTCAAACACTCAATTTTCTTTGCTTTCACTTTTCTATCACTTCTGTCTCTATCTTTCCTACGTTCCCCGTTTCCCATCTTTCGTCATCACTCTCTTTTTTCTATTTCATTCCTTTCTCTTTTCGCTCTCAATTCTTTCTCTCCTTCTTACTACTCTCACCTCTCTATCTCATTTTTTCTCTCTCTCTCTCACTTCCTTCTTTCTGTCTTTCGCATTCTTATTTCTGTATCCCTTTTTTTTCTCTCTTGTTATTCATCTTTCATTCTCGTTCTACTTTGTTTTTTTCCTTTTTCTCCCCCTCTCTCTCTCTCTCTTTTAATCCCCTCTCATAATTCCTTTTTAACTCACACTCTCTCTTTCTCCCTTTTTCTCCTCTCGCTTTATTCCTTAATCCCCTTCCTTCCACATTGCCTTTCGTCCTCTCAATGTTTTTCATCTTTTTTATTAGTCGATTTTTACTCTCCTTTCAACCTTTCTCTTTCTTTTAATATTATCTCGTCATTCCTTTTAATTCTCATTCAACTCTCTCTCTCTCTCTCTCTCTTTCTTCTCTTTTCCTCCTCTTTCGTTATTCCTTATTCACTTCCTTTCCACTTTGTTTTCATTCCCTCCTCTCACTCTTTCATCATCATTCTTATTAATCATTTTTACTCTCCTTTCACTCTCTCTCTCTCTCTATCTCTCTCTTTTCTTTCTCCCCAAATTGTTATTACCGGCTTTTTCCCCCGCTGTCCTTTCCTATTTTCTTCTTCTTCTTTTTTGTTCCGCTCCCCATCAGTAGATAGGCAATCATGGTTTCCCATAACTTCCAATTGCTTGTGGCACTTAGAAGTTTTTCTCTCTTTTTTATGGCTTCCTTCTTCCATACGCACAAGCTCGTCAAGTAAATATATTTACCCGACCTCCCCACTAAGGCAGGATGTGACAAAAGGTTTATTTTTTACGAAGGTAGCGCTATACACAGACGTATGCATATGGGCAAAGAACAAAAACGGCCCAGTCCCCTCGACCACTGTCACGCTAGCATCGATATAACACTGATCCCACCTCTCTTAGTGCAATGAGGAAGGTATTGCTGCGGGGTAAGAATCTCCGGGGCCGGGTGCATTCTCCCATGTAAAATAAGAAGAACAGTTTAATCCACTTTCAGCCAAAAGTTATGAAAATCGTTGCCTTTCCCGTTTTATTTTTTATTTTCATGCAGCAACTTCAGTCACAACGCAAACCATTCCAGTTTTTTTCTCATTTATAAATTCTTTCTTAAACCACATTTACGTGACGTCTGGCGTCTTTTACTTATACGAACAGCTGATCACTAACACTAACAGTTCAGAGGGGCAAAATATTGGTTGTCCACATTCAATACCTCGAAAATCAAACTAGTGACCTTCCATCATCGCCGATCGGATTAAAAATTTTCACCAATCGCTATGAACGGATGTTCCCTCACGGAGACCCCATGCCTTGAGCGCCTATTAGTACTAGAACTCAATCCAGGTCTCAAGTAGAACTCTTACATTCGATCCATCGCTAAAGATACTGGAAAAGTGGTCGGTTTCCTTTACTGGCACCTGCTACCCTCCATCTTTACAAGAACCAGATCAGGTCAAAAATGAAGTACTGCTGCCATAGATAGACAGGAGCTGCCCAGTCTTCACTTTCCACCATCGAGAGATTCCCAAAGCGTCTCCGCTTCATTGTGATTGATGAATTATTTTTCACCATATAACCCCTTTGTCACAGACCAAACGTCGCAAGCCTCATGCTGTTCTATCGCTATTTCTATGGAAGGTGGTCCCCAGTTCTAACCTTCACGACTAAAACCCGCCATGCTACGCATACTGTAGCGAAGCACCCTCATTCCATTCGTATTCCATTGATGAGATGCAAGTTCCACTCGAGCAGTTTCTTCAGATGAAACTCTGCTTTGTGGAACCGACTCCCAAGATGATGCTTCTCCGATGAATACAGTCTTAACTTATTCATGTCTAGGGTTAACCGTTATCTTCCACACAGATCCGCATAAACTATGTCTCTTACTCTGTAATCATCTACCTCGAGTGACTTTCGGGTCATGTACAGACAGGGTGAACGTCATTATAATAACAAAAATATTAGTTTTTCATTCTCACGTTAGAATTCCTTCTCTATTTTATCTCGATCTCTTTTAAAACTTTTCTTTTTTTTTTTCATTGAAATTTTAATTACTCTTTCTATCTTACTTTTACTGTAACTGCTACATTTTTCTTTCACTCTCTTTATTTGTTTACTTTAACTCTTTTCTCCCATCCTCTCTCTCTCTCTCTCTCTCTCTCTCTCTCTCTCTCTCTCAAGTTTGTTCTCTATTAGTAGAACATTGTTTATATAGTTTCAAACTGGGTCAATAGTTTGTGACGAGACATTTGGAAACTCGCCATAAATGAGTCGAGAGATTTAAATACAGTGCTCTCTTAGTTTCAAAATAAAATGATTCAATTATTATTCATCTTTAACTCAATATCTCCACAGAAACGCGATACCTAAAGTTTAAAAAAATGAATTTTTTTAAAAAATGAAAAATCTTTCTTGAATCTTTTATTTTAGTTTTATTTGCGTACTAATAGATTAAATTTAATATTTCCAATTAGCAAAATACTTTTTTATTATTTCAAAACTCATTTAAATTGACTGGAAGGAGTTTTTGTTTTGAAATGGCTATAAATCGATGATTTTAGAAAGATTTCTAAACATCTGTCATCACAATGTAATTCTCTTTATTAAAGAAAACTTTTCAAAAATGAAATATAATTTTCTGAAACTTTATTTGAATAATCGTAGCTTACTTAAAGTTTAGTTAATCTAATTTGAAACAAATATTACTTTAAGTTTAAAATTTCGTAGAAAAGTAATTTTAACAAGGATGTAAAGTAAATGGTAATAGTAAATACCTCCAAAGAAAAGTGAACATTATTATTTAAAAGGCATTTTTAAAAATGAAAAATCTTTCTTGAATCTTTTATTTTTAGTTTTAATTTCAAGTTAATAGTTACAATTTAATATTTACAATGAGTTACTTTGCTGTATTTTAAAACGAATTTAAATTGACTAGAAAGTTTTCTTTTAATCGCTAAAGATGGTTGATTTTATTAGCCATATTTACACCATTTGTTAAAACAACTTTCACAAAAAAATATACTTTTCTGAAACTTTATTTGAGGAAGATTATCTGGTTTAAAATTTAGTTGATCTTAATTGAAACAAATATTGCTTACTTTTAGTTTAAAATATCGCAGAAAAGCATTTTTATTACGATTGTGGTTGTTTTTATGAAGCATTGACAACTCGATATACGTATATTTAGAATTTTTTTTTTCTACGGAGAAAATATGTATCAAAACTACTTAATGTATATAACTGTGAGATAGCGACTGCAGACGGGATGCCAGATCAGGACCAATCACGTTGCATATCCGTCTCCGGATTTTGTCGAGGACCTCGAGACGAACAGCGGAAGCACCCGACCATATATAGCAGAAGTATTCTCTTCAAGGACGAATGGTTGATTTGTAGATTTGAAGGATGGACTCAGGCGGGAAAAACCTTCTTGCACGACACAGAGAACCAATTTTCCTTGCAGTAGATGAATCTGATTAAAAAATATAATTTAATAATCAAAAAATCCTTTGTTTTTTTTTCCACTTAGCAACAAACATTTTGACGACAAAGCTTTAAGTTTGGGGCCTTTTTTTTCACCATGTATGCTCACTTTTTTTTAGCGAATCTTTGGAGGCACCTATATTTAATTTTTAACTCGCTACTTCTGTAGCTTTTTATCGCTTATTGATTTTTGACTCGCATTTCTTTCATCGTAATTTTGTGGCCTTTTTCCCACCTTATCAGGTTTCATTAAATCAACAAGCAGAAACTGTAACATCTCTAAAAATATCTTCGAATATTTCATCATTTCCTGTAAGCCCTTATTTATATTTTAGTTAGATCAGCCGTGCTCGGAACTCTTCAGTCAGCTATATATCATCGAGTATCCGTACACTAACTGTGAACTTTAGTCTCCCTAACAGACTGCCTCGATAAAGATCCCGTGATAGATAATTTACTCAGCTGATATATCGAAATGAAATCCTTCATCTCATCTCGTGACAGAAACTTCTTAAACTAATGTACCATATATTTATAATATAAAACACAAGGTAACTTTCTATATTTATCAATCACGCATCCCGATTTCTCTTACTTGGTAATGAGATATTCGTTTGTTAATTGGATGAATATAAGTATGAATATAAGTAGAACAATATGCCTAGTTTTTGCATAGCTGAAAAATATTTTAAGTAGGGAGATAGTTTTGATATATATTTTATTGCTTATGCAGAAAATATAACCAATGCAATTATTTGAATATTATATATTATTCCAAGACATTATGGATAAGTTAGTATAATATGTAGGTATTGTCTTCGACGCATTCTGTTGACAGAAACTATTTATAATTGATATTCCAACTGAAATAAAGTATTTCCCTTGCTTGTATATTGAAATCCAAACGATATGAATATAGAATTGCAATTTATACACCATCAGAAGTGTGTGATACTAAGGTTTCCAATCTCGATAGAGTCCTTGCGGATGAAAAATTATTTTTCGCTCTTCAACCTCTCTCTCCCGGACAGAATGTGGCAAGTCCCTCACTACTCTGTAGCTACTTCCATTGAAAGTGCTTAGACGAACTGCATTCCTTGTTTTTGCCAGTTCTAACCTTTACGGTGAGGAATCACCCTGCCTTTCACATTGTAGCAAATCATCCTCATTCCCCCCGTATTCTATTAGTGTGAAGTAAGTTCCACTCGAGCAGCTTCTTCCAAGGAAGGGGATTTTTTAACAATCAGTACAATCATAACCTGTTCAAGTCTAGGGTTAACCGTTATCTTTCCCACCTATCGGTATAAACTGACTCTTATTCTGTAACCCTCTACCTCGAGTGCCCCTCCCCCTTGCTGGGCCTTGGACAGGGTGACTCTCACTGTTACAAAACAAGAACTACATTCCTCCGTTCCACCCTTTCAGACTTTAACAGCTAGGATCCACCATGCCACCCACACAGGATCGATTTATTCTCATTCAAGATATCTCGAATGCGCAGGCCGATAGACAATACACACTGTTTAATCAATAAAAATGGCGCGTCTATTTCAAACACGAATAACGTTTGTGTGTGTGTGTGTGTGTGTGTGTGTGTGTGTGTGTGTGTGTGTGTTCGGTTTGTCAAGAAGTAGATTCTTGATGCTATCGGCTTATGAAGATGATTATGTTATGGTTTCAGCGTACCAGTCTTCTTCAAACTGTTGGTCACACCAGATAATGCGTTCTTCCCTAAAGTCTACTCAGCATAGTTGCAGTATGAACGACATGTGGGCTCTGTGGGTGTTGAATAAAAACAAATACTGCTAGTCGCCTTAGCAGATAGATGTGCTCGGAAATCGAGTAACCGGAGATTATTGTATATATATTTATCTCTGTATGCCAAGCCATGCCAAGCCATGCCAAGTATATAGGGTTCGAATCCTCATGATTCCGTTCCTATTCCATTGGTAAGGAAGAATTTCCATTCGAAGGATGTTCTTCCCAAAAACCACTTCTTCCTCGGTCATTACAATATTAACCTGTTCAAGTTCCGTCAACCGTTATTTCCTTTCAAAATGCTCATTCCGTAACCCTCTGCCTTGAGTGGCTCTTGGATCTTAAACAAAGCTGTAAAAAGAAAAAATGCATTTCATTCACAAGAGTAGACGAAACTGTACGAAAGCCATCGATGGTTATACCTGCACTAAGTCACAAGTCATCGTGACCGAGGTTTTCAACGTACTGGCCTTGATCCCGACAGATTATGTGATCTCAACCAGAAATTGTAACTAAAGCCGGCTCAGCATAGTCGATAAACCATAGGTGTTTTTTGTGGGTGTTAAAGGAACATAAACGTACCTGAGCTGGCGTCTGCAACAGGGATATCCTAGCCACCTATGCAGACGGATGTATTCGGAAAACGAGAAGCCAATAGGCATGCGTGCAAGGTGTTCGCAACGGTTCACGTAAACCGTTTACTAAAATTACGTAAGACCGTAGAACTGGTTAAACTGCTTCATTTTTTATATCCACGACAAAAAAAAAAAAAAAATAGGGATGTAAAAAGAAAAAAAAAAATTTCTAAAAACAATTTGAAATTTCCCACTGTATGTGTTTACCTATGTATATATTTATGTTTATATGTCTGTGTTTACATTGATGTATATATCAGGTACTTTAGCTTTAACGATCGTCGGAGACG